TTTACTTATATCAAAGTATAGGGGACAGGATGATAAAAGGGAAGGGGAAGGGTACAGGATGTAGCTACGTGCAGGCCTGGGGTCTGTAGACATAGCTATTGTCAGGCAATGAGATGATGTTGGTGAGATGTTGTTAATTTCTGGTGGGTCAGTCTGACTATGCTTAACGGTTGTGCTTGCTGGATTCATAGCTAAATTACCTCTCTAATAACTTCGCATAGGTCTTGAAAAGACAATTTTAGGGAAAACTTAACCCCCTATTCACATATAAGGACGTGTTCTAAGACCTACACTAATAAAAGAGAAAGATGCAAATTGACTACCTCTACAACATCCCCCAGCCAATCAGGAGTGAATATGCAAATTAACCCAACAAAGATGTAAGGTTAATTTGCATACGCAGGTGCGTAGTGGCTGGACAGGGTGGCATGCCTGCTGTCAGGCCGAGGGCAGGGGCAGAAGGAGCTACAGGAGTGGTGCCTGGGCCAGGATCAAAGACTGCAAGCTTCCAGCCCGAGCGCTGTGAGTGAAGATTGCAGGTTCCCTGGCCCCGAGGTGGGAGCTTCCGCCTTGTCGCTATAGTAATGTGGTGAGTGTTCACATCAAGTGGTGGTGGGGGTGGGGGCGCGGTGCAGTGAGGTTGCAGTCTTTGCTCATGGTGCTCGGGCCAGAGTGAAGACTGCAAACTCCCGGCTGGCTGGGAGCAAAGACTGCAGGTTCCCTCGTGGGCCAGAGCGAAGGCCTGGCTCCTGGGTGCCTGAGGAAAACGGGTGCCAGCAGCCAGGTAAAGGAAGGCCTATTCTAGCACAAATCTTTGTGCAATAGACCTCTAGCTTAGAACAATATGATTACTTTTCAAATTAATTTAGGTGCTTTATTTATTAGATTTATTATTTATTATACTTAAAATTCCTTTTAAGATTTGTCTTTATAGATCTTTTAGGACTTTTATAAACATTCTTATAACTTTCACAATTATTCTTAAGTATTCCTGCTCTTATTTCCTCTCTTTCTGTTATATTCCTTTATTTACATCTCTTTTCACAATTTTACCTCCTCAACTTTTGTTCTCCTTTAATTGTACAGACCCTCTGTAACTTATACATACCTCTTAAAATTTATATATACCTTCTGCTACATATATATATATTTCTTCTGTAACTACACATACCTTTTCAGTTTGTCTACTTCACCTTCTTTTTCCTTTATACCTTCTATTATACAAAAACTGTAAATTCCTTTTAATTAGTTATGATTAAAGGTTAGTTCTACAGTTTCCTCTATGTCTAGCTTCAGATTAATTGGAGTGGTGAGAAATATGTCTATCTCTCCTCTAGTTGGCCTATCGTCCTTGCTTATGCCTGTCTAACTGCCTCCCACCTCCCCCTCAAGAGTCTTGGCTCTGCCGGCAGCTCCCTGGGCTCTGGGTCAGACCTGGGGTCAGCCCCACCCTTGGGATTCACTGGACGAGACACAGCTACCCTAAGCTCAGGAGCCTCCTGACTGTAAAAGGAGGGAGAAGTCTGCCCTCCTCACCTCCGGAGTCACCAGGACATTTGCCCAGGCCTCCAGCTCCGCCTACGCCTCGAGGATCACCACAGGCGTTATTTTGTCAAGAGCGTAATGGGGGTTCCACTGTAAACGTGGGCAGACTTCGTTAATTGGGCAGCAATGGACTTTATTATCAGTTGTAATTGTCATCTTTCAACCAGCAGCAGTTGTCCGGCTTGAGTTTTGAGGGTGGGATTGCCTTCTGGAAAGATACACAGGATCTTAACCTTCCTGGTTACCTCCTGATCCTTAGCTGAGAGGAGAGGGAGAGGACAGGGCCTAGAGAGGGTGAGGAAGCAGCAGGCCAGCAGGAATGAGAACTGGGGCATAATCCGACAAAGGGGAAAGACCGGTCAGTCTATGTTCTTCCTGGCCCAGCGAGAGCTTCATCAAGATACCAGTTCCTCGGCCCAGAGCAACAGAGGCCAGGCCCAGAGCAGCCAGGCCCGGAACAGCTCGCTCCTCGCCTACCCCCGCCCCAAGGCTGCCTCTCAGACATGGCTGGAAACTTTTGGAACATGAGGGTCTGCTGAATTAAGTGATGAAGGCTTAGATCTGGATGTGTTGAGTTAGTATAGTGCTGGGGTGTTGATCTGTGAGTGCCTTGGGTGGGGCCTGGATGAGGCTAGTTGACCTATTTGGAAATGTCTTTTGTGTGAAGTGTATCTTTGGGCATGTGGAGGTATTATTGATATGAGAAAATACTAAGTAACTGATTTACTATCTGAAAAGGGATTTACTATCGGGGGAAAGGGAGGGAGGAAGAGACTGAACATAAACTGTGCACCTATGGATGAGGACAATGGGGGAGGGGAAGGGGGCGGAGGGTGGGGTGGGAACCTGGTGGAGGGGGGAAGAAATGAGGAACCTTTGTAATAATATGAACAATAAAGATTGATAAAAAAAAACACACAAAACCAGTTCCTTAGGCTCTTGCCTGGGGCCTCGAAGGGCAGCCAAGACTCCAGGTCAGTGAGGGGTGGAGCCGAAAACACAGAAGGGCAGTTGGGAAGACAGCTCAGGAGATGGGCCAGCCCCAAAGGGAAAAGGACACTGTATTCCTAAATATCACTTTATTTGAAAAAAGGGTCTTTGCACGTGTTATTAGGTTAAGACTTGAAAGATGAGGTCATTCTGGACTTAGGGCAGGCCCCATATCCCATAAAAGGTGTCATTGAAAAAAAAAAAAAAAAAAAAAAAAAAAGCCCTAACTTGCTTGGCTCATTGGATAGAGCGTCGACCTGAGGACCGAAGGGTCCTGGGTTCGATTCCGGTCAAGGGCATGTACCTTGGTTACGGGCACATCCCCAGTGGGAAGTGTATAGGAGGCAGCTGGTCGATGTTTCTGTCTCATCGAGGTTTCTAACTCTCTATCCCTCTCCCTTCTTCCTCTCTGTGGAAAATTAATAAAATATTAAAAAAAAAAAAGAAAAAAAAAAAAAGAGTCTTGGCTTTGAATTCTTTCAGGGAAAGAGACCGGGGTTTTTCTGTAGCTGCCTCATGCTGAGGCCGTCAGAGGTCTCCCTCAGAGCCGAGAAATACTTCCTCTATGTCAGGTGGACTGGAGGCCTAGGCACAGAAGGAGGTGGCAGTGGTGCCTAGAGGTGGTATTCCCTAGGTACAAGTAGGGCTTGTAATCTAGTGGAGACAAACTGTGTTATAAAATTCAGTTTCATTGAGCAAAAGTTAGAACAGTTTCTAATAATTTCCTGTTGAAACATCATCCTTATTTTTATTAAAGACTAATTTACTTACTGTATTAAGTGTAGTTATAATTTGTCCTGATTGTTTGCATGAACACAATAAGAATAACAGTTGATTACATAAGCTGTTTTTTAAAAAATGTGCTTTGCTGGGATCTCATGAGAAAGTGTATTCCCAGGGCCAAGAAGCCAAGCCACACAGTTGCCGCCAGGCTTTGCCTGCAGTGTCTACAGAATTGGGTGCATTCCTGAAGTTGAGGTCCCATAGATGTCTTGAGGTGTCTTTCATCCCATCTCTCAGGAAAGCAACCTTTGCTCCTTACCTGGGAAGACTGCCAGGAGCCACGAGACCAAGCAAGGGCCCAGGCTGTTTATCTAAGGGGCTTACAGGCTTCAAGTCACTCTTCATTCCTTAGAGCTTTCTGGTGACATCGAGTCCTGACATGTCTTTCAGATATTGCATTCCAGCCAAGTTTTGGTTAATAAAACTACAATTGAAACTGATTCATGTCCTGCTACAAAGAAATCAAATTCTTATTGGATTCATGCAAACAAGTGTATTGCTATTAGAACAAAAATTACTAAAACTATAATTATTTTTAGTTCATTTAGTCCTATAATGAAATTTTTTTGCTCCTGATTTTTCTTGCTAGTATTTCTATAAATTTAGATACTTTATAGAGTAATATAAATGACATGGAATCTTGTCCTTCTTGCAAAACACAATATTCTACAATATTCTAACTTATAACACTTGGTTATAAATAAAAGCATATTATGACCTATTTTAATATATAACATATATATATAGAATATACATTTTATTTCCTTATTTGACAGTGCTTCCCATGTACCTTACGTATAAAATTTTTCTTCATAAGGAGATAAAGCAAATCTTAAAATTAAAACCCTTGGAATGTAATCAAATATATGTTGTTGTAACTTTGTCATTTTTGTTTCTGTAGCAGTGTTTTATGTGATTGCTTTAAACTTTAATTTTGCATTGCGCCTGTGCTTTTCAGCCAGGAGTGTTCTTATCCCTGGACACTTGATAATATCTAGAATCATTTTGATTGTTGTGGCTGGGAGGCTGTTACTGACATCCAGTAGGTGTGTAGAGGGAAGGGTGCTGTTAAACACTTTACAGTGCACAGCACAGCTCCCACAAAGCATTACCTGTCCAAAAAATCACAGTGCAGGCCGGAAGTGCTGCATTGTGCACTTGGGAAAATTAATTAAAAACAAAAAATTAAGGTTTAGCGACAGTTTTCAATATGCGACATTAATAGAAATCTTTGTATTAACCTCTGCAAATTTTGTATTATCAATTCTACTCTCATGTTTCCTTTGCCCTGATATCTTCATTCACATTTTAAAATACAACTTTTTAATATTTAACAATTTATATAAGCCAATTTTATTTTTTCTGTAACAAGGCCTAGACATGTATGGAGTAATAAATGAAGTCACCTGAGAGTGATTGAAATCAGACAACCAGGGGTATAGTGAGCAAAGAATTTTTATTATTTCCCGGAGAATTGTGTCCCTGAACCCCAAATACTGTTGTAGTTTGTTTGCTGCTGTGATTGATGTTCTTGAAAACTTGAGAACTACTTCTTTGAGAGTAAAGTATATAAAGAAAACAAATAAAAATGAGTCACACCTATTTGGTAAACCACATCTTTATTCCTTCTCTGAATTTAATGACAGTTAATTTTTTTATTTCTTTTCTCTGAATATCACCAGGACACTCAGTCACTTATCGGGAGCCCTGCAACCCGCACAGCACCTCACATTATTGGAGCAGAGGATGATGATTTTGGTACTGAACATGAACAGGTGATAATATTTTTTTCTAAAAAAACCCCACTAATCTTCTGACATATTTGATTATTGTAAAAATGAACATTTTTTTCTGGACATTAACTAAGATTGGTTAATTAGTGGGTTAGTTGCTTATTTTAGCTTTAATCAATAGGAATGACTTTGCTTTTAAGAATCTCATGCTCCAGGCCCGGGGTCGGGTGCGGCCAGGCCCAGAGCAGCGGCTGCCAGGCTGGGAGCGGCTAGGCCCGGAGCAGCAGCAGCCAAGTCCAGAGCAACTAGGTCGGGAGCGGCAGTGACCAGACCCCGAGCAGCTGGTTGTGGAACGAACCAGAGCAACAGAGGCCAGGCCCTGAGCAGCCAGGCCCGGAACAGCTCGCTCCTCGCCTGCCCCTGCTCCACGGCTGCCTCTCAGATATGGCTGGAAACTTTCGCGGGAACTGGAGGGTCTGCTGAATCAAGTGATGAAGGCTTAGATCTGGATGTGTTGAGTTAATATAGGGCTGGGGTGTTGATCTGTGAGTGCCTTGGGTGGGGCCTGGATGAGGCTAGTTGACCTATTTGGAAATGTCTTTTGTGTGAAGTGTATCCTTGGGCATGTGGAGGTATTATTGATTTGAGAAAATGCTAAGTAACTGATTTACTATCTGAAAAGGGATTTACTATCGGGGAAAGAGAGGGGAGAAAAGACTGAACATAAACTGTGCACCTATGGATGAGGACAATGGGGGATGGGGAGGGGGCGGAGAGTGGGGTGGGAACCTGGTGGAGGGGTAAGAAATGAGGAACCTTTGTAATAATATGAACAATAAAAATTGATTTAAAAAAAGAAAAAAGAAAAAAAAAAGAATCTCATGCTCTTACCGACTGAGCTATCCGGGCGAGACAGGAATGACTTTGCTTTTAAAACTGATAAGTCGAGTCGTTCTAAGATGGCTGACAGGTAAACACCTAGCTGCAGCCGCACACAATAATTTCAATAAAGTACAACTAAAATATAAAATGGACATTACCCAGAACTACAGGAAAGTCGACTGACTGGAAATTCTACAATGAGAAACAAGGAGAAAACCAGAAGGAAGCCTGGGGGAGCTATAAAAGCTTAAGGTACGGAGACACGCAGCGCCGGGAGAGGCTGGAGCCAGATAGGAAGGGTGGGGCGGCTGAGTGCCTGGCTGGCGTTCCCTAGCGGGAAGGAGATAAACGCTCCGACTGTGCTGGGCCCCAGTTCTAGGCCAGACCCCGGGACCCAGGCTCAAACAGAGGGAGCTGGGCTGTAAGGCAGAACCCCGGAGGGGGGTGGCAAAAGGAGGTCCCGGAGGCCGCACATTGCGCGCAGAGAAGGGAGGGTTGGCTGTGCCGCGGGATTGCCTGGCGGGAAGAAGACAGGGGCTCTGGACTGCTCTGAACGCCACCTCCAACTCCACTTCCAACTGAACTGACCCCCAATACCAGGCTCATTGGGGGAGAGCCTAGACTGTTTGGCAGCAGGCGGAAATCGAGGGCACCTTTCTCTCAGAGGTGCTGGCAGCGAGTACTGAAGGACCCGCATAGGGCGTGGCTGATGGAAGCCAAGGCTGTAGGCTCCACCCTGGAACCTCGCCCAATCCAAGCAGAACACAGACTTTTAAGGCTACCAAGTCAGGAAAGCTGCAAAAATGCCGAGTCAAAATAGATCACAAATGAAAGAAATGGAGGACAAAAAGGGGCTGGATATAGAGTTCAAATCTATGCTTAAAAGGTTTTTCAAGAATTTCCTAGAAAAGCCGGAACCAGTTTGGCTCAATGGATAGAGCGTCGGCTTGGGGACTGAAGGGCCCTGGGTTCGATTCTGGTCAAGGGCATGTACCTTGGTTGCGGGCATATCCCCAATAGGGGGTGTGCAAGAGGCAACTGATCAATGACTCTCTCTCATTGATGTTTCGAACTCTCTATCTCTCTCCCTTCCACTCTGTACAAAAATCAATAAAATATATTAAAAAAAAAAAAGAATTTCCTAGAAAAGATGGATAAGACCTATGAGGATATGAAAAGGGATCAACTAGAATTAATAAGGAATCAACAAGAAATGATAAGGGATCAACAAGAAATAAAGAATACATTGACTGAAATAAAAAATATTATACAGAGTCCTAAAAACAGAATGGAAGAGCACAAGAATCAAGTCAAAGAGTTGGAACATAAAGAGCCAGAAGACACTCCTCCACAGAAGCTAGAAGGCAAGAGAATCCAGAAAATTGAAGATAATGTAAGAAATCCCTGGGACAATTTCAAGCGAACCAACATCAGAATTACGGGGGTCCCAGAAGATGAGAGAGAGCAAGATATCGAAAACATACTGAAAGAAATAGTGACAGAAAACTTCCCCCACTTAGTGAAAGAATTAGACTTACCAGTCCAGGAAGCGCTCAGAATTCCAAACAAAAGGAATCCAAAGAGGACCACACCAAGACAAATCATAATTAAAATTCCAAGAGCAAAAGACAAAGAGAGAATATTAAGAGCAGCAAGAGCAAAGAAGGGAGTTACCTATAAAGGAGCACCTATACGATTGTCAGCTGATTTCTCAACAGAAACCATGCAGGCCAGACGGGAATGGCAAGAAAAAATATTCAAGGTGATAAATAGTAAGAACCTACAGCCAAAATTACTCTACGCAGCAAAGCTATTACTCAGAATCGAAGGCCAGATAAAGAGTTTCACTAATAAAAGCTAAAGGAGTTTATCACCACCAAACCAGAATTATATGAATTGCTGAAGGGGGTTCTTTCAGAAGAGAAAGTAAATAAAGATAAAAACTATAAACAACAAATACGTAACTATCAACAAGTGAATCTAAAAATCAAGGACATTAAAAAAAAGTCTGATGAACAATATTAACTGTTGAATATAATAGAATCAGAGGTATGGAAGGGGAGTGGGGAAAAGGGGAGAGGGGGATGAGGGAAGAGACTGAACATAAACTGTGCACCTATGGAGGAGGACAATGGGGAGTGGGGAAAGGGCAGAGGGTGGGGTGGGAACCTGGTGGAGGAGAGCAATGGTGGGGGGGGGAAAAAGGAACATTTGTAATAATATGAACAATAAAAATTTATTAAAAAAAACAAATAAGTCACTGATTAGTCCTAAGTACTTCATTTTTGGAAGGGGAGGTGTTTTTTTTTTTTTTTAAATTCCAATTATTTATTGATGGTATATAGGAATATGATTGGCTTGGTACTTCAAGGAGCTTTTTAAAATAGCTCTTTTGGCGCCCTGGCCAATGTAGCTCAGTGGGTAGAGCATCGGCCCACACACCAAATGGTTGTGGCTTCTAGTTTTGGTCCAGGGCAACCTCTGTTGCAGGTTTGATCCCGCACCCCAGGGCACATGTGGGAGGCAACCAACCGAGGTGTCTCTCACATGAGTGTTTCTCTCCCCCACCTCCCTTTCACTCTCTTTTAAAACAGCACTGGAAAAGGATATCCTCGCGTGAGGTTAACAACAACAGCACAGTTGTGATTTTCTCCACAGGCAGCCATGACTGTGACTAGAGACAGTTTTTTTGTTTCCAGTCTGCTTATCTTTTGTTTCTTGTTGTTACCTTCACTGGACTGATTAAGACTTCCAGTAATGCGGTTGAACTGGATGGTGAGGCAGCACATCTTTGCTTTATTACTGACCTTAGGAAGAAAGATTAGTCTTTCATCATAAAGTATAATAAAGTTAGCTGTAGGTTTTCCACAAATACTCTTTATTACAGGTGAAGGAAGTTTTCTTCTATTCCTAGTCTGCTGAGAGTTTTTATCATGAGTGGATATTGAATGTTATTGAACAAGTGAGATGATTATATTAATCTCCTAATATGGATTGGTGTTAGCCTGTTGAGCCAGCTCTGCATTCCAGGATAAACCCTAATTGGTCATAATGCATTTTTCTTTTTAGATATAGCTGATTTAATTTGCCATTATTTTGCTGAGGATTTTTGTGTCTGTGTTTATGGGGGATGCTATTGTGTAGTTTTGGTGTTGGTTTTTTTGTTTTGTTTTGTTTTTTTGATTTTTTTTGTAATTTGTTTGGTTTTAATAGTTGGGTCTAGGATGAATAAGAAGTGCTACCTCAGCCCAGCCGGTGTCGCTCAGTGGTTGAGCGTGAGCTATGAACCAGGTGGTCAGGGTTTGATTCCCTGTCACAACACATGCCCAGGCTGCAGGCTCGATCCCCAGTGGGGGACGTGCAGGAGGCAGCAAGTGTTACATCCTCTTGTATTATCTTTCTTTTTAAATAAGAATTGTGGATTTATTAGGTCATCTGGAAAAGCAGGTGGGCTGAGCCCACAAGGCTGTTGACCTCCTCTTGTGTTTTCTAAGAGATTGTATGGGATTGGACTGTTTCTTAGACTAACTTTAGTCTCACCCTAATTTATTTATGTGTAAAAATTACATGAAAATTGTGATTTTAGTTACCTTCATTTTAATGATTGCTGTTTTCTGTATGGTAAGGAATTTATACATTTATTATAGGCCAGTGTTACTTAAAGTGATACAACTCCATTTTGTACCACCATTTCTGTGATTAGTTCAAAAGAAAAGGAAAAGAGCTGGTTCCTTATTAGGCAGAGCCTTGCAGGACATTTGCAGGATGCTGTGAGGTAGGTGTGTGCTGACGCAGAGATGCCTCAGCTCCTTGATAATTATCTCCTAACTTGCATTCTTTCAGGATGGCCTTCTCCTAGCCTCTCCCCTGAAAGTTCTCACGTCAGAAGAAAAGATTCCATAGCTTGTGTTGCTAGTAAATTCTAGTGAAAGTTCTCAAATATCGGATTTTTTACGGAAGATCGGAAGATTGAAGTGGATTTTGACAGTTTATCTTAGTTGAACTCACGTGACATTTGCATTTGTGTTGGAGTCACTGATGTGTAATTGTTTCCCTTTCTAGATCAATGGGCAGTGCAGCTGTTTCCAGAGCATTGAACTGCTGAAATCTCGCCCTGCTCACTTGGCTGTTTTTTTACACCATGTAGTTTCACAGTTTGATCCTGCGACATTGGTAATGTATTTTACGATTTAGCAAATTCAAAGTTTTTCCATTGATTAATAAACCATAAAACTTTTCAGTTCTGTGAAATAAGTGGAAAGACTTTTTTCAGTTTTATAAACATTTAAGGATAGACATGAAAGATACTTAAAATGTTATTTATTTTTTTAAGCACTTTGTTGAATGTTTTAACTATTACTGATTCCTTTGTTCTCGTACATTGTTTATGGTGACTTGCCTGTTGCAAACATTCATACTCTGAGAATATGACAGATTATATTTTTCAAGATTTCTCACTTTTCTTCTTCATTTTCTTCTTTACTACAGCTCTGTTATCTCTATTCAGACCTTTATAAACAGACCAATTCCAAGGAGACTCGTCGGATCTTCCTTGAGTTCCATCAATTCTTCCTGGATCGATCTGCGGTAAGTTGACAAGTTAATAGTAAACTCTTTGCTCTAGTACATTGAGTTATCAGCCTCCTACTTCCAGTTTTTCCTCCCATTTGGTTTTCTTCTTTCACTTTTTAAAATTATTATTTTTATTAGTTTATTATTTTTTTTTATTGATTTTAGGGAATGGTGTGGGGGGAGAGAGAGAATGAGAGAGAGAGAGAGATAGACAGGAGGACAGGAGAGAGGGAAAGGGGTAGTAGGAAGGGAAAGAGAGAGAGAGAGAGAGAGAGAGAGAGAGAGAGAGAGAGAGAGAGAGAAAGAAACATTGATCAGCTATCTCCTGCACATGCCCTGACCATGGATTGAACCCACAACCTTTTGATGGATAGGATGATGCTCCAACCAAATGAACTGCACCAGCCGGACTCCCTCCATAGTTTTGGACTTCATTGTGCTTTGTGACATCTGTCAGTTATTGATTACTCTTGGCTGTTTTTGTGGTATTTTTTTTTTTTTCATCATTTCTATATTAGTTGTAGGCCTATTTGTTGTCACATGTGTTTTATTAGGATGAGGGAATAAAAAGAGAACCCAAAGATACACATTTACATGTCAGGATCCAAAAGGTAACACCTGCATACTTTAACTCCTCTTGGCCTCTGTGAAGTTTTTAGGTACAAGTTTAACTAAAAAGTGGTGAAAACCATCTTATTTACATAAATGATAGTAAATGGCAATAGTGTTTCCTAAGAGGTTTATTATTCGCTTTGCTCTCGGGAAAGGAGAACTGGCCCTAACGCTCCCTAGGCAATCAGTCACTCCGTGTCCTTGGTTCTCCCGTATGGCTGTGTCCCACTGGCTTTCTCCTTCCTCTCTGTCCTTCCCTCAGCTGATGACCTGGCTTTTGCTTGAGGAATTTAAAGTCGTCTAGCAAAGAGAGCTTGAGCAGATGCGTCCTCTCCTCTGCCACATCCGCCTGTGCATTGCTTCCTCTGCAGAGACTTTCTGCCTGCACCGCCGTGCTTGTTTTCTGTGGCAGACTCACCAGTGCTCCCATCTCAAAGCAGTAGCCTCTCCTTTCTGCAGCTCCCCTTTCTCCGTCCCTTTCCACAGCTGCCTGCACACTGCTAGACAAATCACCACTGAGGCCTTCCCTGACCAGCTCACTGAAATGTAACCCTCTCACTTATGCTGCTCTCTCTCCTATTATTTTTGTTCATAGAACTTATGTTTTATTAACTTACTTTGTTTGTTTGTATTCTTACTCTATCCTGAATGTTAGCTTCGTCAGGGAAGATGTTTTTACCCTGTCTGTTCACTGCTGTTCTCCCAGTATTAATAGATTGCAGCACAAAGTGGTCACTTAGATATTTTTTGAATGAATGGCTTCTGATTTTACTGCCATTGTTTAATATATTATGCATCATATTTATTAAGAAATGACAGCATATTGAAGTGTATTTGAATTTTACATATAGAGCTCCATGCTAAGTTAAAACTTTATATTTTGCTACTGATCTATATAAGTTTATTAACATTAAAATATAAGAACCTTGATTAACTTACTAGTTATTTTTGATGCACAGGTGATATTTTTTTCTTAGAAGTGCCCACGTGTATAGATGGCAACATCAGTGAAGGAGAAAGCTTAGAAATCCACTTCCTGTCCTTCCAATGAATATTAGCCACCTCATAATTTTTAGCAGTGACTTATTTTCAAATATAAAACTACAGATATTATAGGAATTATTTAAATTCTGGAAGTATACAACTTAAGTGTACAATACAAAGTCAGTATACAGAGGTTATGATATTTACTATATCTGCAAAAACATTTACTTTTAAGATATTTCCCAAATTGATGGGAAGGAAAATACATTTTAAATTAATAGTGGGACCAGAGATTGCAATTATTATGGGAGAAATCCTAGCTGTATAAAACTAAAACAGTTACTTTAATTAGTTCAGTAGTGCAAATGCTACAGATGGTTACTGGATATTTAAGACTCCAAATCCTCAGAAATGACATTCACTAACTCTCATTGGGAGAGATAGCAATTATTATGGGAGAAATCCTAGCTGTATAAAACTAAAACAGTTACTTTAATTAGTTCAGTAGTGCAAATGCTACAGATGGTTACTGGATATTTAAGACTCCAAATCCTCAGAAATGACATTCACTAACTCTCCAAATCCTCAGAAATGACATTCACTAACTCTCTATTGTGAGGGTTCTTTAGGGAAAGGGACTGGAAATGTCATGGTCTGTAATGGGTGTATGTCAAATACAGTAAATAAAAAATTATAATAATAAAAGCATAATATGCTAATTAGACCAGACATCCTTCCAGCTGACCTTCTGGAGGAAGCTGGGGCTGCGAGGGAAGCCCAGATCCCAGGTGCCTGCTGGTGGCCAGAGGGAAGCGGGTGCCGGCAGCCGGGGGAAGGAAGGCCTACTCTTGCATGAACTGCATGCATTGGGCCTCTAATAGTTCTATATGAGTGAATTTTCCATATAATAATATATGCACATAGTTTAGTTTTTACCTATATTAATTCAAACAATGTAGATTAACCAGATTCTAGAAAGCCAAAGTCAGTATTCATTCATTCCAGAAAGCTGCCATAAAGCCAGTAAGTATAAGTAAGGCACAGAAGCATTTAGTCATTTAGTAAATATTGTAGATAATTCCTTTATAGCGTGATCTGTGGAAAGGGCTTCTTTTCCAGGTTAAACAACAGAACACACCAGAGCAGTGACATTGGGTGGGGGAGCTCAGTAAAGGAGCTTATGTACAATGGTGCTTGTGAAAAGAGGTGTCCAGGTTCTATTAACTTACTTTATGCAGGCACTTGCATGCATCTTAAAAAGTCCTGAGTGCTGTCTCACTTTTTCTTTGCATTTCTGTTTTAGCACTTGAAAGTTTCTGTTCCTGATGAAATATCAGTAGATCTAGGTAAGTTTGGAAAATTATATCTATAGTTATGTAGCTCAGCTCATTTGTAAAGGTGTTATGTGTCATGTGTTGGCTAGTAGATCATCGCATTGAAAGGTAAATGAAATCTGAATCATGAGATGAAATACATGAATTAAACTGAAGAACTCTGTGTCTTACTCCCAAGACAAGTTTACCCCAGTCACATTTACGTTGCCAGTGATAATGCACAGATTACACCTTTAGATCAAATAAATGTTTCCCTTTTTCTCTTTTCAGAAAAAAGAAGACCTGAGCTTATTCCTGAGGATCTCCACCGCCACTATATTCACACTATGCAGGAACGAGTTCACCCTGAGATCCAGAGGCACCTGGAGGATTTCCGGTAAGCGTGGGAATAGAGACGTAGCTGACAGATTATAGATGAAATCCTCGGCTTAGCATCTGGTCTCCGCCTCTGTTTCTAAAGCAGAATGAGCATCTGGAGTCAGAGTGTTTGGATATTGGAGTCAATAGTTCCCAGCACACGTGCTTCCCTGTGTGTGTGAGTGTTCCTTCAGGACTGTGCCCTGTGCAATGAGCACCCTGGAAGGTCTTCCCCTGCCGTCCTGGCAGACGTGTGTGCTGATGGGAAACCCAGACCGGTGCCTGTTGCCGGGAGGTCGCGGCTGTGCAAACGGTGAGGGAAGATACTCTCCTCTGAGCTACTTCAGGCAACGCCTCCTGTTCCCTATAGGCAGAAAAGGAGCATGGGGCTGACCTTGGCTGAAAGCGAACTGACCAAACTTGACGTCGAGAGAGACAAGGACCGGGTCATCTTGGAGAAGGAGCGGGCATGCGCAGAACAGATTGTTGCCAAAATTGAAGAAGTGTTGTAAGTAACAGATGAGACGTAGAAACGCCCTTCATTCTGCTGAGAGACGGGACACTTAGCACATCCAGAAGAGGGCCTGGCTCATGGTGCTTGATAGACGGAATGTTTTACTTATTTTGCTAATACTTTATTATTTTTGCTGATAATTTATTTTAAAGTTCTTGAGTTTCTTTTTCTGGGTATTAGCAAAATGAGTAGCTATAAAATTACTAGCTGATGAACAGGTTAAATGCTTTCATTGGTTTAAATTCAGAGGCTTGACAATCACATTTGTTGCTATAGAACATTTATAGTTGATGACAGGACACGAGTGAGAAGCATGCAGCTCCTTTGAGGATAGAGGGGTTTTTCTTAGAATTACAGTCCCTGTGGCTTTTCTGCTGCTTCAGGAATCTGGGTTTAATAGAACTCTTTTCTTAAATGTTAATATTTCATTTGTAAATGTTTTTATTTTTATTTTTAGGATGACTGCTCAGGCTATAGAAGAAGATAAGAGGTAATACAACTTTTATTCTAGAATTTTAAGGAAATAAAAAATAAAGTTTTTTCTTTTGTCAGTACTGAATTATATTTTATTTCTTTTAACTTAAAAAATGTAGACCATCTCCTTCTGGTGGCTTATATATATATATTTAAATATATTTTATTGATTTTGTACAGAGAGGAAGAGAGAGGAATAGAGAGTTAGAAACATTGATGAGAGAGAATCATCGATCAGCTGCCTCTTGCACACCCCCTATTGGGGATGTGCCCGCAACCAAGGTACATGCCCTTGACTGGAATCGAAGCCAGGACCTTTCAGTCCGCAGACCGACGCTCTACCACTGAGCCAAACCGGTTTTGGCATGGTGGCTTATATTTTATTTGACTAATATTCTAGTATTTTGAGATAGAATCCTTTCCTGGTAATTCCTTCTTTTCTATGTGATGAATGAACTCTAAGAATTCTATCACTGAGGTTTTGGAAGCCAGTTGCCATCTTTATTTTACCCACCCTCCTTTTTCTTATTTTCCTTCTTCTGTTCTCCTCCAGTTCAACAATGCAGTATGTTATTTTCATGTACATGAAGCATCTGGGAGTAAAAGTGAAAGAACCTCGAAATTTGGAGCATAAGCGGGGTCGGATTGGGTTCCTTCCAAAAATCAAGGTGAGGCTGGGAGAGCACTGGTGCGGGTCTTGTGCTTTCGCCTGCTCAGTGTTGCTCTTCAGCAGCTTCGTGCAGCTGCTCTGGATAGGGTGTGGCTCCTGTCGTCAGAAACTCCAAACCTAGTGAGAAAGCGGGATGGGAACTAATGACTAAAAAAGAGGAAAAGTGAAAGTAGCAACTTACAGAGTACCATCCTCAGCTTATCCTTTTCTTTTATGGTGCCTGTCACAGTTGATAATTATTTGTGTTTTTGTTTACTTTTTATTTGATAGTGAAGCTCTGTGAGCGCAAGGAGCTCCTTCATCATTGGACCTCTAGCCTTTAGCATAGTGCGCTCACATTGCCTGAGCTTATTAAATAAATATTTGCTCAGTGGATAAATGAATCATTTACAAGCTCCCAGTAAATGTGTTATAAAAATAACCTTTTGGCCAAAACCGGTTTGGCTCAGTGGATAGAGCGTCGGCCTGAGGACTGAAGAGTCCCGGGTTCGATTCCAGTCAAGGGCATGTACCTTGATTGCGGGCACATCCCCAGTGGGGAGTGTGCAAGAGGCAGTTGGTCCATGTTTCTCTCTCATCGATGTTTCTAACGCTTTATTCCTCTCCCTTCAATAATATATATATATATATATATATATATATATATATATATATATATATATTTATATATAAAGAAATGGCATAGATAACTATGCTGATTTGTTTATTAAAAAAAGAAATTATTAAAAAATAAAAATATACTTTTGTTTTCCAAAATTATCAGCTATAAAGAGTTTGAAAAAATGTCTTTTATTGAATTTACTGGGGTGACATTGGTTAATAAAATTACACAGATTTCAAGTATACAACTGTATAATGCATGATCTGTCCACTGTATTGTGCGTTCACCACCCCAAGTCAAGTCTCCTTCCATCAGCATTTATCTCCCATATACACTCCTCCACCTCCCCCAGATGCCGTAAGTTTCATCTATACACAGTACTGTGTGCCAGTTTCTAATGAGTATCGTGTGTGTATGCGTGCGTGCGTGTGTGTGTGTGTGCGCGTGTGTGCGTGTGAGTGTGTTTCATTTACATTTAACCATTTTCTTTCAAATGACCGTTGTAATTCCATTTCTCTGTTTGAAAGTAACAGAAGAAGCCCACTCTGTTATGTCTCTCTTATCTCTTTGGTTGTGCCTTACCTCTAGCAAAGTATGAAGAAAGATAGGGAAGGCGAAGAAAAGGGGAAGCGAAGGGGGTTCTCCAGCATCCTGGGGCCCCCACGGAGGCCCAGCCGTCCTGACAACAGTGCAAGTATGTTGAAGTGTAAAATGCTGTGTTCTGTGTCTCACGCCGCCGTCTAATGGTCTCATTGAGCTAGAGGGAATTGCTAGAGAGGGTGTTCTTGACATGTTCCTCTGAACTTCCAATGTGCTTTGCTTCTATTTGGTGTTCTGTCTGCACTGAACTCCCCCATGTGGTTTGTTTGTATTCACATTCTGTTCGTTAAAGTTAAAAATTAAAAGCACAGAACATGCGCGTGGGTCTCTCTACCATACTTTGTTCAGTCCTTTTCCACATGTCTCTCACACTTTTCACCTCTCCACCACGCTGTGTAATTACAGCGTGGTGGAGAGGTGAATCATTAGCCTTATAGTTTTTTAGGGCCTACCATATTTTAGACATTTTTCCAGACCTTTGACATCATCGTTGTTTGGCTGCTTTGAAACACACATTTTTAACCATTTCTTTCTGTCCAGTTGGCAGAGCCATGGAGCTACAGAAGCAGCGCCACCCGAAGCACTCACCCACACCTCCCCCTGTGAGTCCCGAGCCCCAGGATACTGCTAAGTCTCGCCAGAGTGGGCCAGCAGGTGACGGAGCTGATGCTGGGTACCTGCCCGCCGGCTCCGTGTCCTCAGTGGCTTCCGTGGCCAATCTCTGCCAGGATGGAGGGAAGGAGAATGATGCGGGTGAGCTGTAGTTCAGCTTAAGAGTTAATATTTTAAAACAATCATACTAAGAAAAACGTGACAGATTATTTTAATCAAGACTGAACCCCAGTTAAATTCAGTTTTAATATCTGACAACTAGGGACAAATCTGTGCTGACTGATGATTTTCAAGTTCTCATCCATTCAAAAATGATTACTGAGTTTTCTGTTAGGCATCAGCCTCATTCCAGATGTTAGGACAGGATAATTATACAGGATAATTGTTCTTCTGGACGAGAGTCCTACACTCACAAATTCAAATTGTGCTGAGTCCACAGAGGCAAGGTAAAGGAGCGAGGAGGACTGTCAGAGGTTTGGGGCAGATGTGGGAGGTGTAAGGAAGGCTTTTAAAAGTAGACTAGAGATGCTTTTTAACTGCTAAGGGGAAGCCAGCTGCTGGGAAGAGGTTGAAGATGTAGGGATAAACTGGAGTAACCAAAGGAACAAAGATTTGAAAAGGAGAGAGGAGATGAAAGACTAGGATATCGCCTCAGAGTAATAACCTTGGTGAAAAGAGATGATTTAAAGAGTCAAGACAGATACGAAGTAATTGTAGATACTTGGAAACGAACTTATTACCATGTTCTTCAGACAGCCTGTGTTATGAGTTTCTTAAGCACCTGAGCAGGAGAAGAGGTGGTTGTATTTGGAGGAGGCAATGCCTGTGTTAGTGATTTGGGAAGCAGTCAGTTTTGGGTGAAGCCAAGGTCAAGGCTAACGTGGGGGGAGTGGTCACTGAGGCGGCGTGGAGGAGGGCGGGCGCTAGAGATGAAGGGAGGAAGGAGGCCGAGGGGACAGGAGTTCCAATAGCTTGACCTGTGTGTGGGTTGGAGGCCATGTGAGGTTCGGACTGAGAGGAGAGTTGTGAGCCGCAGCCACAGGGGTGTTGCTGGGTGCCTGCTGTGAGGAAGGGACGTGGGGAATGTCCGGGAGGGAGAGCACGTCTCTGCGGGAGGGGTGGGTGCAGGAATGGTTGCCTTCCCATGGGATAGGCAGGTTTTTATTTAAGATAGAGAAGTAGGAGGGACATTCGGAGAAAAGGCTGGAGACTGACACAAGACTCTGAAGGTGTTGGATTGTGTACATGCACTCACTCATGGCTCCATGTCTCAGGGAAACACAAGCATGGTGGGTAACAAACAGAACAAAAAGGAGGTAGAAGAAAGTAAGGTGTTACAACAAATAAAAGATGTCAGCACCTTTGTACTGGAACCAGCCGGTATTACAGGTCCTGAAGGTATGGCTAGGAGGCTGAGAAAAAGAAAGACAGGAACCGCGGGGCTTCAGGAGGGCTGGAATGCTCGATGGCACTGCAGCAGCAAGTTTACTAAGGGCGCAATCTCTTTTATACACTAAAGCTGAGCGTTCCTCTAAATGGCTTTCTCCAAGGACATGATGCTACGTGCCAGTTCCTTAAAACCTCCGCAGGAAGATATCTGGCCGGAAAAGTTCATCCGGCTGTGCTCTGCTATGTTAAATCAAGGACATGTTTGCAGATTCCAATCTTGCACACACAGCAGAACGAAGGACACTGTTGCTTGCCACATCCCCAAGTGACCCGACTTCTGGGGGAGGGCAGGCAGGGCTACCCACCCTTGCTCCATCCCACGATTCTTAGGTCTGTAGGGGACTCGGCTCCCCACAGCTCCCCCCTTTTAATTCTATATATGCATGCGTTTGTCATCCTTATTTTGATACAATTGTATCAGTTTTATGTCAGTTGCCAATTGGTAGGTCTGCCTGCATATAATCTTAAGGAGGACCGGCAGAAGCGCACACAACAAAACCAGTAGCCCAGCGGTTATAACCAACCCAATAAGGCCATACATTGTGGAGGTTACGGATGGAAAATTATTTCGAAGCTGAGTAATGAAATCTGAGGCTGCCTTGGCAATATCAATGTCTAATTTGGGCGCGTGCGCCATTTCCTGAATCTCCCGATGTAAAAGTCGGAGATCTAGAGATGTATTTGCATCCTGCCAAATGCCGGTTAAATGTTGTTTAACATTCTCCCAGGGAAACTGGGTGTCATTGTACTCTTTTAGAGTAACACAAACCCAATTATTTGCTGCATGACAACACAGATTCCCTTTAATTTTAAGGGCAACTACCTCATCTCCCAGAATCTGGACAGTGTCATAAAGGTTGTTTAATCTTTTTTCTACTTTCTGATCCTAATCTTCTTGTACTTGTAAGGCTTTTGTCATATTAAAGGATAGCGTGTTAACATACTCAGCTGTCTGGATAGTTTGTGTTAAAGAGATGGCAGATGCAGTAGCAGACGCTATTAAGGTTACTAATGCAGTGATACCCGCTCTAAGCAATCCTACAAACCGTTTCGGGTGGCTTAGGGCCTTCTCTACTTCCCGCAGGACTTCCAGACCTGAGTCATCACACCATGCACGAGTAGTGTTTACAGGGAGCATAACAAAGGCAGGCTGCTGCAGTATCATCAAGGCCATGGTAGAACCATTAATACAGTTAGTCAAGCTGCAAGAAGGGCAGCTTATGTTGTATATGCTAGTGACATTGTCATACCTCACACTGAGATTAGCCCCTACCAAAAGGACATAAGGATCAGGTACACAAGATGATACGCTGACGTTATAACTATTCCCGCTCCCACTAATCACTCCCCGCGGGGAAATGGAGACATTTTCTTTTTCAACAGTGACATAGTTCATGGTGGCAACCAACTTCCATAATTCTTCCTGAAATGTGATGTTGTCCATAGTCCACAGTCCAGCCACCAGGTTCTAGGGGCGAAAGTCGTTATCAGTGTCGACCCAGTCGCACAGCTTTCCCTGGCACACTGTCACATTACTGTGGCAGGTCCTCCACATTAGTCCCATTTCATTTCTAGATGGCCCCAGCTGCAGGCGGTCCAGTCGATCCCTCAGCTTTGCCACCTGACTTTGAGGCATGGCGCACACACCGCTCGGGAAGCTACCGAGGATTCTCATCCCCTGTTGGGAAAACACAAACATAGCCTCTCCCCCACATTAGTACGGGGTTGGGACCATGCGTTTCATTAGTCAACGGGTCTCTCCAATACACCTCAGGGAATGCCCTTGCCTGTGGGTTCCAGAACCTTTGGGCTGCCGACTGGCCCTCGTTATCCACTTGCAGAAAATTTAAAATGAATATAGTATGATTAAGTATATTTTGAGGAGTTAGGGGGTAATACTCCCCCTTCTTAACTTTAAAAATTTGATTCTTAAGAGTCTGATGGGTATGCTCGACAATCCCCTGTCCTTGGGGGTTATAGGCGATGCCGTGCTTGAGTTGGATATGGTATTGATGATAGAAATGAGAAAAGGCTTTGGTATAATAGGCGGGGGTATTGTCGGTCTTCAGTTGTTGGGGGACCCCTAAAATAGAAAAACAGTAAAGCAGATGGGCGATGCAATGTTTAGCTCCTTCACCCGCCCTGGCAGTAGCCAGGATGAAGTGGGAAAAGGTGTCAATAGTTACATGTACTTAGCGAGAACAACTAAATTCAGGAATGGGAGGGACATCTATTTGCCATAGTTGATTGGGTTTCAGTCCTCGAGGATTAACCCCGTAATGCGGTACGGGAAGTATTTGGGGGCACCGCGTGCAGGTCTTTACTAATTTGTCATGCAGTTTCTCGGGGAATCTTAAATTGCCACTGGAGGGCTCTAGCTGATTGATGATGGATTTAGTGGGATCGTTTAGCTTGCTTGACATTATCTAGAGCCTAAAGAACACAAACCTGGGTATGTAAGTCAGCTGCTTGATTATCAGCAGCGAGGGGCCCTGAAAGGTTAGAGTGGGCCCGTACATGTCTAATAAAGCAGGGGCTAGACGGGAATGTAGGATCCCTTGTATATCTTGAAACAGCTGTTGAATGGTGTCAATACAAGCTGAATTAATGTGCCTTATGGTAGATGTTTTAATAATTTTTGTTATACTTACCATATAAGTACTATTATTATAAATTAATGGGCTCTGTAGCAAAATTTGTTAAGGCATAAATAAGAGCTTGTATTTCTACTGAAATATAAGAGGTTTGAAGGATCTTTGCTCCTTTGCTGTAGTATATTTAGCCTTTCTAGAACTGGATCTATCCGTAAAAATGGTTAATACTTGAGATAAAAAATTTCTTTTAATGTGGTTGTTAATACTATTCCCGTGTTAGAAATAAATCAGGGTTCCTGGTAGAATATAAAATAAAGCCAGGGTTCCTGGTAGAATATAAAATATTAAGTATTTTGACTTCTATGTAGAAGGGTGTGTACACCGACCTTCCTCTTGGGCAACTTGTAGTAATGTACAGGTGCTGACTGCTAGCATGGTAAGGTATCTTTACTTTAAAAATAAGACAAATTTACTTTTGAATTTATAAGCTATAAATGTTGCCTTGCTTTTAGCTTAATTAAAATGTAGGCGGCCATATACAGTTAGGATTCAATTATTTATAAAATATTGGCTTCTTACGTAACTTAATTTATATGATATTGATTATATTGTAAAAGTTAGTTTATCAAGTAATTTAAGTAGGTATTTTTAAATTTAAAAAAATGGAATAGAAACTTATTCAGTAAAACTTTTAGGTTTGATACTTTATTGGTTTGATCCAAAAGCATGGCTTTTGTCTTTCTTGAAATTCTATTGCTGTTGAAAAATTTGGCTATATTTAAGAACTATATTGTTTTTGCCTTTCTTACAGGCGAAAACTTTTATAATATTTAATATATACTTATTAATTTTTATGTGATAAGGCTTTCCATGTAATTTGAAGTATATTAGATCTGTTTTAAAGAGTTTTCCTATAAGAAGAGAGAATAAATTTCTTGTATTACTCCGTGCCCTTGGAGCTTTCCAAGAATCATCTCTGTTAAGGCCTTGAAATTTTAACATGGAAAAAACCATCAAATAAATATCTATATATGATTTAAATATTTTAATACCTGTTATTATTATCTATTATTATCTTAAGATATCAATTAAATTTAGAGTAGTTTTTGCATAGAAAATTTTTGGTTGAGATCACAGAATTAATCCTCTTTTTAATTAGATCAATAATAAGCAATTTATTTTGAATTTCTAATTATTAGAGGAAATATAACATTTCATTTTTTTAAAAATAAGTTTTTATGCTTTAAGTATTTAATCACTACAACTCTATAATTCTTCTAATTTAATTTGTACTTTGAATTTTTAGAGCTGGCAATTTAAATATATTTAGTAGTTCTTAGATTAATAACACTTTATATATATATATATATATATTTTTTAATATATTTTATTGATTTTGTACAGAGAAGAAGGGAGAGAGACGGAGAGTTAGAAACATCGATGAGAGAGAGTCATCGATCAGCTGCCTCTTGCACACCCCCTACTGGAGATATGCCCGCAACCAAGGTACATGCCCTTGACCAGAATCAAACCCGGGACCCTTTAGTCTCCAAGCCGACGCTCTATCCATTGAGCCAAACCGGTCTCGGCAACACTTTATGTTTTTAAGAAAAATACAAGACATAATCAATTAATAGATTCAATTCTGTCCTCTAGGTTTTTTATGAGGCAAACTTAAACTTTAATTTTTATTTGCCAGTGGCTCTGGGAAACTAGGTTTTGTTTATTTGCCTGTAAATTATTACATTCTTTAAGATGGCTACTGGCAGGACACTATATTAATTGTCTGCTGGGGGAAGGGCCTTTACCCTTTCCTCCCTCAGCAAAGGATGTAGCAAGTTTCCTGGACTACTTAGATCTTTATAATTAATATATTATTTATTTATATTTCAATAATCTCTTTGAGATTCTAGAATCAATTATAATTATTTTAAAGTATTTACTTTGGATAAATTCTATGATAGAGACAAATTTATTTTCTTGAAGGCCTTAAAAGTTAATTTTTTAATAAGGTTCACTAGTATTTTGAAAACTACTCTTTATTATGAAAATGCAAATCTTGTTGCTGGAATTAGCTTGAATTTCTTTCAAGAAGACTTTTTCGCTGTTTTTCTCAGGAAAAAGAACCAGCTCTGGGTTTTTCATTTCTGTAGCCCTTATAAAAAGTTAAGTCTAGTTCAAGACCTATCTAATATCTGAAATCGGACGTGTGCACATTTTGTCTTATGCTAGCTTTCTCTTTACACCTGTACAGATATCCCAGATGCATTTCTAAATTTTTAAAATTTTTTTATGGTGAGAAAGGAAACTTTTAATTGAATATACTAGGAGAGCGGGCTTCTATATTGGATCGCCTCATGTCTCTCCCTTCCCCCACATCCTACTTACTTCAGGGGAAGCATCAGCAACAGATCTGGCTGAATTTCTTTTCATGCTTAAAAGATAGATAGATCTCAATATTTTTTTTTTTCTTTTTGGCTTTCAGAAATAATAACTAGTACCTAATTTGGCCAAGATTTGCATTTCCCTGCGAGTTCTCTTATAATTTTTAAACAAGGTATTAAGTGGTCTAGCAGATAGCCCTGCCCTCTCTAGCTGCCTTTGAATTTATCCACATCAGAGGCAGTTTCAGCAGTGGAGTTCCACTTATTACAGATTTTAAATTCCATATATGTACTAAGATTCTAATTTCAACAATAAACAACATTATTTTGTGATCACATAGACTTCAACATTCACTCTAAAGAGCACTTTCACTTTGTCCCATGCTTTACCGACTGAGCTAGCCGGGCTTCTATATTCTTAATTTCCTAAGCTTTGCCAGTTGGAGTGACAACTGTAAGGGGGACAAATAATCATCCAGAGTTGACTTCAAGCCACCCATCAGCAAACTCCACTTATGAGGGTCAACCTTGACAGTAGCTATAATAGGCCAGCTTTGGCCTCCACTTAAGGCTACAATGTTTTAATTATAGAAGGTAAATAAGTCCAAGATACCAGGGCCTCTACTTGGGTTGCCAGGGGGCGTGGCCAGCCTGCAAACCACCATAAGCCTCTCACCCCAAGGGAACTCTCCCTGATCTGAGACACCCTTCAGGGCAAAGCAACCGGCCCCCACCCATGCACCTGGCCTCCATCATATCTAATAAAAGAGTAATATGCAGATTGACCATCATGCCAACACATAAGATAGCTGCCCCCATGTGAACACAAGATGGCCACCACAAGATGGCAAGCAAGGGAGGGCATTGTGAGGGATCATGCCTGCAAGGGAGAGTAATTGCGGGTGATCAGGCCTACAGGGGAGGGAAGTTAGGGGTGACAAGGCCGGCAGAGGAGGGAATTTGGGGGCAACCGGGCCTGCAGGGAAAGGCAGTTCGGGTGGACCCAGGCCTGCAGGAGAGAGCAGTTAGGGGTGACAATCCCTGCAGGGAAGGGCAGTTAGGGGTGACCAGGCCAGCAGGGAGGACAGTTAGGGGAAATCAGGCTGGCAGGGGGACATTTAGGTGTTGATCAAGCTGTCAGGGGAGTGGTGGTTAGGGGCTGATCAGGCTGGCAGGCAGAAGCAGTTAAGTACAATCAGGAAGGCAGGCAGGTGAGCAGTTGGGAGCTAACAGCCCTGGATTGTGAGAGGGAGGTCCGACTGCCCATTTAGACTTGATCCTTCCAGGATTGGGCCTTAACGGACAGTCAGACATCCCTTAAGGGGTCCCAGATTGGAAAGGGTGCAGGCTGGGCTGAGGGACACATCCCTGTACATGAATTTTGTGCACCGGGTCTCTAATATAATAAAAACCTAATATGCTAAGTGTCTGGTCGACCGATCAGCTGTTCAACCAATCAAAGCGTAATATGCTGCTAATATGCTAAAGCCTCTCAACCACTCGCTCTGACCTGCACTGACCACTGGACAGAAGATGCTCTGACTGGTTGGTTAGCTTGCTGTTGGGGTCCAGTCAATTGGGATTGAGCAAAACAGGCCGGGCATGCCCTGGAGCCCTCCCGAGGTCCCTCCCTGGCTGGCCATCCTCCTGCGTCCCTCTCTAGCCCTAAGTTGAAGGCAGGAAGAACAAGCAATATCTTCTAAGGAGGAAGAAGAAGATATTACCTAAAGATAATAAAGAATAAAGTTATTATTTGTTGGATCACCATAATATCTGAAATGTGAATGAATGTAAAAGATTTAGGGTAGAAAAAGATAGGTGAGAATGTTCTTCTCTTAGATGCTCTTCTGTGTTGTTGCCATGTTTTATGTTGTCACTTAAAGCTGTTTAAAATGATTTTCTATTTGGTTTTTAGTGTATTTTGAAATGTTATATACTAGAATTTTGATTCTAGCTAACCCACAGTTGTTTAAAAATGAATGTGACTATGGGTTAGGTTGAAGCTCTTCTGGAATGAACACCTTTTTTTTTCTTGTCATCATCTGAGTAAGTACATGATATTAGTGTGTGGCACGAATTGAGTGGGTGCTGTTTGTCTCTTCAGGGTCAAAGCCAGTGGCAGAATCCCCAGCATCTGCAGACCTCGCAGACGCCCCCCCTCGTGCTTCCAGTGCTGCCCTGGAGGTCCCGCCGCTGCCCTTGGACCAGGTGCAGGAGGAGGAATGGGAGGCGGAAAGGTAATTCAGACGTCACAGGTCTCCGTGTCGGATACTGCTTACCATTTTTTAATTATATAATATTCCTGTATTTTACAGTTATTCCCACATGTGCTTTTTGGGAAGAAACTAGAACTTGTTTTGGTATTAAATATTAATAGATATTGAATGCTTTTCAATTTATTCTTACAATATCAAGAAGAATTAGTTATCAGCTGCTGTACTTTTACCCAGTTTTGAACACTGGCATATATTTCTTAATTAACATTTTGTTTTTTTGTCGACTCTTTCCCCCATTGTTTTAGGATGACTGAACATGGGACACCAAAGCCCTTTCGAAAGTAAGTAGCTGTACAGTAGCCTTCAGTAGGGCATGCTTTAAGGAAGCATGTCAGAGGAAGAGTCTCGGGTATTCTGGTCAAGATGGTGGAGCTGATGGGCACTGCCTTCCCCTCCGCCCGCGGCACAGCAGATCATAGTGACGTTAGGGAGCAGCTGTCGCTGAGAACCATCTGGCGGCCCGCTGAGTGAGAATGGGGAGAAGCCCTGTTGAGACGAGTGGGCTGGGAAGCGGGTGGTCCTGCACCCATGGGTGGCGGTGAAGAATAAGAAGGCCATCTTGGTTGTGGAGATCTCACGAAGGATTGAGGGGCCCAGCACCAGGCTGGGCTTTCACCCTGGAACTCAGTGTTGGGAAGAAGAGTTCCCACTTGGGGCTGGGGAGCCAGCGGGGCCTGCTCTGAGCTGGCAGGGCTGCAGGGAGGACCCCGGTTCTGGCTCTCTCAGGAGCTCGCCCGGGGCTCCAACCCAGGAACAGAGCAGGGAGGTGCCAGGGACGTGTGGAGGAGCTATATTGAGTAGGTGTGGGTTACCAGCTGAAGGACAGCCATCAGAACAACACTCTGGGCGCAGAAATGCTGGCAGGCCCCACTGTGCCCGTTGCCCCTCTCCTGCCCACCTGGAGGCTCACGGTGGCTCCCAGTCTGTGCTCCATGAGCCTGGCTAGCACTGCTCCTCCAGCTCTCACTGCCAGCCCGAGCCACGTCCAGTGTCTTTTCTACACAAGCGGTCTGCCTCAGCTCCTCCCGCGGATTTTCCTAAAATCTCTCAAGGGTCTCCAAATGCCAGACAAGCAGGGGCTGGCCATGGCATGCCCCATCCAGCTTGCTAAGTGGCTCCTAGCGCAACCAGCACCCAGTCTCAATTTGCATTGCTTGGGTAGGCATAAGCTGTGGCCAGTGTTGGCTTGGAAAGTAGCTTCAGCTGAGTCACAAGCCTAGCACAGTGTCCACTGCCTCAGTTCCCATCATGATGACCTCCACGGCTCTCCAGCCTGGCAGTATTGACAGCCAGCCTTGCAGTGTGACCTCTTCCAAGTGCCTACCACTCCAGCACAACAGCAACCGACCACAGCTCACTTTGTAGCGCCCACCAGGCAGCACCAGCCAAGCATACACAGCAGTGACCTGAACCCACACAAGAGGCTCCAGTGCCAGCACCAGGGCCGGCGTTAATACCCACCAGCCCCACTGATGACAGATCTGAACAGTGGACTCCACTGCTCCTACAGCCCTGCCGCTCTGTGGGGTCAGCCCTGCCCTCGCACGCAGCCTGTTTGATAGTTAATGGCAGCCCTCACCTAGCCAGCCTGCAGGGCAATCCAACCCACTGAGGTGCCAGCACAGTCAAGGCTCAACCACAACAGGAGGGCACACACAACCCACAGAGGAGACACAAAAGAGAAGAGAGCAAGGGAATGAGAAGGGAACGGAAGAACTACAAAACTAATAAGAAAACTGCATGCCTATCAATAATTACTTTAAATGTAAATGTAGTAAATGTCCCAAGCAAAGCACATAGGGTAGATGAATGGATGGATAAAAATAATACGACTGGTACATACACTGCCTATAGACCCATGTCAGATCTAGACACATAAAATGAAAGTAAAGGGATGGGAAAAAGGCATTCCCTGTAAATGGGGGAAAAAAGAAAGCTGGTGTAGCAATACTTAGAGGAAACAGAATTTAAAGCAAGTAACAAAAGACAGAGGGCATTTCGTAATCATAAAGGGGTCAATCCCACACGAGAGCACAGCTCCTGTAAGCTGCTACCTACCCATATAGGGGTGTCTATATAACACACAGGAGGACGGAGTGGTGCAGAGAGGTTGGCAGTGAGGCAATCATAGTAGGGAGCTCAACACCCTGTTGACATCGATGGATAGGGAACCCAGAGTAAGTCAGTAAGGAAAACAGTGGCCTCACATGACACACTAGATTGATGGGACTGGATGCCATCTATGACATCATTACACAAAGCAGCAGAATTTTCATTCTGGTTCGTTTTGTTCTAACTTTTTTAAGAACAAAAATACTGTAATAACAGTATTACAGATGCCCCCCAATGTTCCCCTTCACTCAGCTCCAGCCTTCAGCACACTATTGTCTGGGCTCTACATATATGTGTTCTATCCCTCCCAACCCCCTCTTCTCTGAGATATGTCCATATGTTACACAGGTCCGGAGACATGGGTGTACGGAATAGAATATACATCCTTCCCAAGTGCATAGGGAACATTTTCCAGGACAGACTACATGTGAGGCCATAAAACAAGTCTCAGTAAATTTACAAAGGAAATAACCAACAACAGTAGCGCAAAACTAAAAACAGTGAGTGGATTAACAAGATCAAGGAATATGTTAAAAGACACCACGAGGCAAATGAAAATGAAAACGCAGAGACCAAAAACCTATGGGCACAGGCACAGCAGCTCTAATAGGAAAATGGAGCGAGACAGGCCGCCTCAAGGAACAGAAAACCTCACACAAACCCAAAATGAGAAGTATAGAAAAAAAAAAAGATCAGAGCTGAAATAATGAAATATTAAAAAAAAAAAAAAAAAAAAAAAAAAAAGGAAAAGGAAAAAGAAATGATCAATGAAACCAAGACCTAGTATTTTGAAAAGATAAAGTAGCCGAAACCGGTTTGGCTCAGTGGATAGAGCATTGGCCTGCGGACTGAAAGGTCCCAGGTTCGATTCCGGTCAAGGGCATGTACCTTGGTTGTGGGCACATCCCCAGTAAGGGGTGTGCAAGAGGCAGCTGATCGATGATTCTCTCTCATCGATGTTTCTAACTCTCTATTCCTCTCTGTAAAAATTCAATAAAATATATTTTAAAAAACACAAAAAACTAATACAGTAGATTCATTTAAAAAAAAAAAAAGATAAAGTAGCTAGACTCATCAACAACAATAAAACGAGTGAGACAAATACATAAAATCAGAAATGAAAGAGAAAGAGAGAACCAACACCACAGAAATACAAAGGTTTTTAAAGAAATACTATGAACAGGTCTATTGAAATAAATTGGACAACCTGGAATAAATCAGTAAGTTTTTAGAAACATACAATCTTCCAAGATTGAAGAAACAAATATGAACAGACAAATACCTACTAAAGAAATGGAAATAGTAATTTAAAAACTTCCAGCAAACAAAAGTACTGGGACAGATGGATGCATAGGAACATTTTACCAAACATTCAAAAAAGTAATACTTATTCTCAAACTATTCTTAAAATAGTGAAGGGAGCCGAAGCCTGTTTGGCTCAATGGTAGTGTCTGCGGACTGAAAGGTCCCAGGTTCAATTCCGGTCAAAGGCATGTATATTGGTTGCGGACACATCCCCAGTAGGGGGTGTGCAAGAGGCAACTGGTCGATGTTTCTCTCTCATCGACATTTCTAGCTCTCTATCTCCCTTCCTCTCTAAAAAATCAATAAAATATATTTTTAAAAAGTGAAGGGAGGGAAGACTCTTAAAGTCATTTTATGAAGCTGCATTTATGATACCAATCCCAGATAAACACTATAAAAAAAAGAAAGTTACAGACCAATATCCCTGATAAACCTAAATGCAAAATTTCTCAAAATATTTTAAATCAAATTTAGCAGTACAGTAAAAAGGTACACCATGATCTAGTTGGATTTATCACTGGCATTTGAAATTAGTCATATCAGCAAGTCATTTAAGATTACATACCACATACACAAAATTAAGAATAAAAACTATGATTCTACCAATAGATGCAGGAAAATATTCACAAAATGCTTCATTTAGATAAAAACTCTTAGAAAGAGATGGTACAGGGGGCATACCTCAGCATGAAGGCCGCCCATGAAGACCCCAGCTAACAGAGCCCTAAATATTCCACCACAAAGTTATTAGAACTAACAAGTAAGTGCAATAAAATAGAAAGGTACAAAGTTAATGTTCAGAAAAACCAGTTACACTTTTATACACCAGTAATAATTATTCTTAAAGAGCAATTAAAAAACCCCATTTGCAATTGCATCATAAATACGTAGGAATAAAGTCAACTAAGGCAGTGAAAGGCCTATACTTGGAAAACAAAGCATTTGAAGGGTCAAATTGAAAACTATACAAATAAATGTAAATGTAGACTGTGCTCATGTAGGAAGAATTAGCATCTTTAAGATGTTTTTTTTTCTTTTTTTATAATATATTTTATTATTAAATTATTATTTTTGTACATATACCAATGCCCCCCCCCCCCCCCCGTACATACCTTTCCTCCCCAGAGTTTTGTGTCCATTGGTTGTACTTATATGCATGTATACAAGTCCTTCGGTTGATCTCTTATCTCCCCCAGATCTCCCCAACCTCCCCGCTGTAATTTGACAGTCTGCTTGTTGCTTTACTGTCTCTATATCTATCTTTTGGTTCTTCAGTTTATAATGTTCTTTATCATCCATAAATAAGTGAGGTCAAGTGGTATGTCTCTTTCATTGACTGGCTTGTTTCACTCCGCATGATGTTCATCTTTAAGATGTTAATACTTCCCAAAGCCATCTACAGATTTAATGCAGCGTATCAAAATACCAATGCCATTTTTCACAGAATTAGAATAAATAAAATTCATATGGAACCACTGGAGAAAGAATAAAGTTGGAGGTATTATACTGCCTGACACCAAACTATTCTGGGCTATAGTAACCACAGCAGAATGATACTGGCATAAAAGCAGACACATGCGCTCTGGCCAGTGTGGTGCAGTTGGTTAGGTGTTGCCCTGTGCACTGAAAAGTTACCAGTTTAATTCCCAGCCAGTTCACACACCCAGGTTCCTATACCCAGGTTGTGGGTTTGATCCCCATTTGGGATGCGTGCGGGAGGCAACCAATCAGTGTTTCTCTCCTTTCTCTTTCTAAAACCAACTTTTCTTAAAAACAAAAACACCAGGCACAGATCAGTGGAACAGACTAGAGAGTCTAGAAATAAACCCATGCCTGTTATGATCAATCTATAATAAAGGAGACAAGACTATACAATAAGGTAAATAGAGTCTATTCAATAAGTGATATAAGGAGCCGAAACCGATTTGGCTCATGGATAGAGTGTCGGCCTGCGGACTGAAAGGTCCCGGGTTCGATTCTGGTCAAGGGTATGTACCTTGGTTGTGGGCACATCCCCACTGGGGGGTGTGCAAGAGGCAGCTGATCGATGATTCTCTCTCATCAATGTTTCTAACTCTCTGTCCCTCCTTCTTCCTCTCTGTAAAAAATCAATAAAATATATTTTAAAAAAATAAATGGTGTAAGGAAAACAGTGATATGTGCAAAAGGATGGAACTGGATAACTTTCTTTTAAGTTATGGAGGGTTTTATTAGCTATAAAATGTGTCGCATATTTTGAGTGATTAAAGTCATCTGCTTTAATAAATTTCAGATATACGAGAATCCAACATTGAAAATACCCCCTTATTCACACTCTCCCATGTCAAAAAGCATTCTAACTGTTGGCCGGGGGCCTCAGCTCCTGGCCAGCTGGGAGCAGCAGGGATGTTCCTTGCCACATGGGGGTCTCAAACATTTCCATAGGGCTCCTTGAGTGTCCTCACAATGGGGCCACGGCTTGGTGCAGAGCTCTCAGCTCTCCAGCTGGTTTAAATTACAGTGTTGCTTTTTAAGCTTTAAAGTCTCCAGTTTCTTTCTTTTTTGTTTTTGAACCTTGGATCCAGCTTCTTAGAAATGGCTCCAGCGGCATCTTGTCAGCATCATTCAAGTCTAAACCTGGAGTCCGCCTGCACAGCGTCATTAGTGCTGGAAGACATGGGACTTGGTTACTCAGCATAGCTGTCAGCCTAAGCTTCGTGAGCCTAAGGCTCCCATCTTTTTGTCAGATGTGATTCAGACCTAAGTCAAAACAATTGATCCCCGTGGCTGAAGTGCGGACTTGAGGAGCCTGGGAAAGGCTGGGGAGAAGAGCAGAAGGGGAGAGGTGGCTGGGAGTCTGGCCCGAAGACATGCCTGACACACTGGGCCTAGGCAGCCAGTCCCCCTCCGGATAGCTCTCCTGCACCGTGTACAAGAATAAACCCAAAATGGATTGAAGACTTAAAAGTCAGACCCCAAACCACAAAACTTTCAGAAGAAACCATACGTAGTAAACTCTTCATTATTGCTCTAGTTAATAAGTTTTCAGATATGTCTTCTCAGGCAAGGAAAAGAAAGCAAAGACAAAATAAGCACATGGGACTACATGAAACTAAAGTAGTTTACTCTGCACAGGGAAGAGAGCCGTCAACAGAACAAAACGATAGCTTGCTGAGGGGGAGACACTTCTCTCTAATGGGACATCTGATAGAGGTGAATACACTAATATAGGGAAATCATGCATACTAATACAATGTAAAACCCTAACAATTCAATCTAAAAAAGCACGGAGTACCTGAGAAATAGTTCTCTGGTCAGTAGATATATGATAGTGTGCTTAACATCACTGATCATCAGGGACACGCAAGTTAAAACCACAGCGAGGTACCACCTCACACCCCTCAATGCCAATCAAGTTTTGGAGAGGATGTGGAGCAAAGGGACCTTTATGTACAGATAACCAGTATGGAAAATATAGTAGCGGTTCCTCAAAAGTGTATAGAGCTACCATATTAGCCAGCAACTTCACTTTTGGTTATTTCAAAACACTTAATTGGAAAAGATATATGCATCCCTATATTCTTTACAGCATTATATACGATAGCCAAGATATGGAAGCAACCTAAATGCCCTCCAGTAGACAAATAACAGAGAAGATATGGAACATACACACAATGGAATATTCAGCCATAAAATGAATGGAATCTTGCCACTTGTGACATGGATGGCTCTAGAGGGTATTATGCTAAGTGAATTAAGTCAGAGAAAGGCAAAATACCTTGTGATTTCAGTTAAATGGTATATCTAAAAAAACAAAATAAATGAACAAACAAAATCCATAGACTCAAACAACACATAGATGGTTGCCAATGGGAGTGGGGGTGGTGATATGGGTGAAAAGGGGAAGTGGTTAAATTTCAAAACTTGTCATGGAAATCCTAAGTACAGCGCAGGAAATATAGCCAATAACATTTCCATACCTGTGTGTAAGGTAGACACTGGGCTTCTCAGGGCCATCACTTTATAAGTCACACAAATGTTATCATTGTTGTACACCTGAATCTAATGTAATATTGTATGTCAACTATAATTGAAAAGTAAGAAATTTTTAAAAGAAACACTACATAGTTTGTCAGGCTTACTGCTGTTTCCCATTGTCCCTTGATATCCTCAAATAGGAATCTTCATCCTTTTTTTTCTTTATTAGGTTAGACGGCGTCGCTTTTGGAGAAAGTCAAAGCGAAGATGAACAGTTTGAAAATGACTTGGAAACTGATCCACCCAACTGGCAGCAGCTTGTTAGTCGAGAAGTGTTACTGGGACTGAAGCCCTGTGAGATCAAAAGGCAGGAAGTGATTAATGGTGAGTTTAATTTTGTTGTTGTTGTTGTTTTATTAGAGCAGAAAATGCCCTGGGCCTTGGTGTTTGCTTCCAAGTTTCTGCTTGCCTTTCGTTTTAAACAAAGATGAAATTAAATTATATAGATGATCCTTGAACTTCAAAACTAGAAAAATCATTGAGACATTTGCCCCATCACCTTCCTTTCAGACTCTTCATCTTGTTCATAGATTATGAGTGAGAAAGCTAAGGCTCAGGGTGATGAACAAATTAAGATTGTGCAGCTAATAAGTGACAGGGAAAAACTGGCATCCAGCTCCCCCTTCGCCCAGGCGCAGCTCTTCCTCACCCGGTGAGTGTGCAGCAGAGGTGTGAGGTGGACACTGCCCTCTCCTGCCTTTAGGCTGTGATTTAGTCAATGCCCTCTTGTCCCCAGTAACACTGAGACAGTGATGTTAGAAGCCTGGCCTCAGAGTGAGGTTTGATAGGCATCAGATAACTGAAAGGAGATAACCAAGACTATATGATGCTTGGGCGTATGGTTCTCTAACGTAGTTATGATTTGTGGCTATTATTTTAAAAATATAGAGGAGTTTTGGAGTACACTGTTAACTTTTAAGTACAAAACAATTTATAATGATATTTTTCATTTGCCAATATTAAACTCTTAGAGCCAATATGTAGGCAAGTTCTGTGGAATAAAAAAAAATGACTTCCCTTCTCTAAACTCTAAATGATTATTATATAACTTATTTGCTAGTTAATCCCAGCTGAAGCCTATAGGAATATAGGCTATAATATTGTAATAACTATGTGTGGTGTGAAATAGGAACTAGACTTTTCATAGAATTATTCTAAGTAAGGCCACATTTTATATTTACCTCTTTTCTGTTTAGAATTATTTTATACTGAAAGAGCTCATGTTCGAACACTAAAGGTTCTTGATCAAGTGTTCTACCAGCGAGTGTGCAGAGAAGGAATTCTGTCACCTTCAGAACTACGGAAAATTTTTTCAAACTTGGAAGATATTCTTCAACTTCACAGTAAGAGAAATTGACTCTGATCTTTGTCCCTAACGTTTTCAATATATAAAAGAGTACAACATAAGTATGTGATTGGATCTTTGAATAAACCTTCCACCCCATTCCCATATCAGCCTTTTATATTCAAAGTGTTAACACAGGACTTGGGATCTAATGTCAGTGTCTAAGTTCAAAGACATGAGTAGTCAAAACTACCCTTGAAAATTTCTATCAATTATAGTGTATATGTTTTTAAAAAATATATCCCAGTAATATATGTGTATAAATGCATGTTGAAATAATAATACACAGCATACAACCCATGGCGGTGTCATTTCAGGAACTAAATCACTCCGTTGTTTATTGTTTGCTTGGGATGCTCGATAGATTCAGGGAAGTTCTCCTGGTGCTGCTTATTGCGGACTTCCTGTCAGTGTGTCCATTCCTCGCTCCCAGTCACTGTTCCCCGTGTCCCTTTGTGTTTCATTTTTCTGTCACCAGGAATGCTATCACCGTCTTTCAACACCTGCCCACCACACGAATGCCTTTTCACTTGTCTGGGAGTGATTTTAGGTTTCACCAACATGCATTGTCAAGTTCAGACTAGATTATGTTCATTGCTTATGAACATACACATTTTCAGAGGGATAGTAGACAGAGTGACCTGCATTATTTACATTCAAGTGCTTTATAAGTTGTTATAGATGGAGTCTTGAAGCTAAATGACTGTTTGATATACCTGTATTTAATTTGCTATTTTTCACATTGTTTTGTGCTTTATCATCTGTTTTTCAGATAGAGCTCACAATATCTAGATGTATAAGAATTGTTTCCTGGTTTATATTTAAGGAAATTAGAAGTAGTTGTACTATTCTGAATCTTTTCCTTTTAATTTAAGTTCTTGGTACTATCAGTAATGTCTGTATGCTTACTTTTTTTTCCATTTTATTTTTCCCCTTGAGTTGGGTTGAATGAGCAGATGAAGACTGTTCGAAAGAGGAATGAGACCTCTGTTATTGATCAAATTGGGGAAGATTTGCTAACCTGGGTAAGGAAATTTGCTATTTTATTTTAATACTTTTATAGATATTTTATTGTCAGATTCTAGGTTAAGTAATTAACATTTCCAAAAATGCAAAGTCATCTATTTTGCAAAGGTAATGTAAAGATGAAAGTCCGGAATATGTATTCTTTGGTTAATTTCTTCTTTAAGTGCTCTTTTTTCACCAAACACTATTTCTTTGTGTTTTAAAGAATATAAGCATAAAATAGATCATAATAAAAATAATTTAACTGATGTATAATTTTCTCTCTGCTGCTGTCCATATCTCAGAATTTACTGCACAGCATTAGACAATTGTAGTTCCAAAACTACCATTGCAAGAGTAGACAAGTGAAAATTACTTTGTATTATTTATCTGTATATATAAAAGCCTAAGCAACCATTACAACAGGTTGACTGGTCGCTATGATGCACACTGACCACCAGGGGGCAGAGGCTCAACACAGGAGCTGCCCTCTGGTAGTCAGTACGCTCCCACAGCCAACCTCCTGCGGCCCAGGCTGTCCAATCTTTCACGATTTTCCCCTCTGGCTGGCCGACAGTTGGGACTGGGCAAGATGTCCCCAATGGCCCCAATTGCTGGCCAGCCGAGGGACCCCACCCATGCATGAATTCGTGCAATTCTGGTAATATAATAGAAGAGTTCAGAGACTCTGGTAGCTATTTATTGAGTGTTTTTTTTTGTTGTTGTTTTTTCTGTCTATATAGATCTCTCAGTATATATTTATGTGCCAAGCCCTGTGCTGGGAAATACAGTAGGAACCAAAACAGACATGGCTCCTGCCTTAATGAAGCTTAGAGGGCGCAGGTCAGGCCAGGGGACCCCACTAGTGCACATTCGGGGCCTGGTTGGGCTCCAGAGTGTGTCCAGCCTGTCTCACTCAGTCCTGATATGCCAGACCCCAGCAGCAAGCTAACCTACCCATTAGAACCTACCCGTTGGTGGTCAGTGCACGTCATAGCGAGTGGTTGAACGGCCTTAGCATATCATTAGCATATTATGCTTTGATTTGTTGAATGGCCAACTGGACGCTTAGCCTATTAGGCTTTTATTATTATATAGGAGATGAGGAAATTGTCCTTAGTTATTTCAGCCTCAGTGAGTATTACAATAAGGGGAGAGTACAGGTTGTTATAGGATTATATAGCAGGAAGACTTAAATTAGGACATATAGAAAATTTTCCTATGGGAAAGGGGGTTTGATTCAAACCTTTTAAGAAAGTACTATGGTTAAGGCTGTGGATGATAAAGTACATCATGTTGTCTGCAAAATTTTAACACAGGTTTGAACATAAACTGTTTAGACATGCCCATAGACATTTACTTCAATATGTAGCTTGCCATAGATTGTGATAGTTCTGCAATGAGAAATTTAAGTACTTCACTAAAATATACCCTTGACTCTTACTGCTTTCATTGATGGTGAGATCATGGGTTACAATCTACCAATCCAGTAGAAGATCTCTTAGCCAGTTAACTCATAACCCAATCTCATCTCACCCTTTCTGAACTTTCAAAAGCCTTTTCTCCCTTTGGCCCACTCGAGGACTATTTTATTAAGGAGATGTATTTCTTTGGAAAAAAGGTCAGCTTATTCTGTGGCTACTCTGTGGTGGTCTGAGTCACTTTGTTTTTTGGATGTTAGTGTAGCAGTGAAAGTTATAACAGCTCTTGTGGCTTGTTAGCAAGCACACTACTTAACATGAAACAAAAAATTTATAGTATGACAGTTTAGCATCAATTTCCATGTCAAATGTGTTTTAAAAAGTTGTAAGCCATATGGACTTGATATCAGCCTTGATTCCTAAGCAGTTTAATATATATTCATATAAAATAGTATTCAAACCAAGTCTCCAGTGAGATTCATCATTGATATAGTATAGAAGTGCACTTGATCCTCTTCTCAGAGTCCATGGGACTATCTAAATCTATCTACATGTTAAAACAAAGTAGAGAAACCTGTTAATAGAATGGGACAAAAAAAACGCTTATTTTAGTACATGTAAAAAGAAGTATATTCTTTTAATTTTATTTTTTGATTATAATTTACATTCAGTATTACTTTGTATCAGTTTCAGGTGTACAGCATAGTGATTAGACAATCATACTCTACAAAGTATTGCCCCAATATTTTCAGTACCCACCTGGCACCATGCACAGTTATTACAAATTATTGACTATCCTCCCTGTGCTATACTTGACATCCCCATGACTATTTTATAACTAACAATTTATACTTCCTAATCTCTTCATCTTTTTCACCTAGTCCCCCAAACCCTCTCCTCTGTGGCAATTGTCAGTCTGTTCTCTGTATCTGTGGGTCTGTTTCTATTTTGTTTCTTTATTTTGCTCTTTAGATTTCACACACAAGGGAAATTATGTAGTATTTGTCTTTCCCTGGCTATTTCATTTAGCATCATACCTTCTAGATTCATCCATGCTGATGCAAATGGTAACATTTCCTCCTTTTGTATGGCCAAGTAATATTCCATTGTGTGTATGTACCACACTACTCATTTATTGACAGACGCTTGGGTTGCTTCTATATCTTGGTTATTATCTATAATCATAAAAGCATAATATGCTAATTAGACCAGACATCCTTCTGGATGACCTTCCAAACGAAGCCAGGGCTTCATGGAAAGCCTGGGTCTCGGGTGCCTGCCAACAGCCAGAGGGAAGCCCTGGTCTCAGGTGCCAGAGAGAAGCTGATGCCGACAGCGCGGGGAAGGAAGGCCTACTCTTGCACAAATTTCATGCATCGGCCTCTAGGATTATAAATAATGCTGCAGTGGACACAGGAGGGCATGAGTCCTTTCAAATCAGTGCTTTGGGATTCTTTGGATATATACCTAGGAGTGGCATTGCCAGATCATAAGGGAGTTTTAATTGTTTGAGAAACCTCCATATTACTTTCCATAGTGGCTGCACCAGTCTGCATTCATACCAACAGTGCACAAGGGTTCCCTTTTCTCCACATCCCTGTCACTTGTTTGGTGATTTATTGATGATAGCCATTCTGACAAGTGTGGGTGGTTTCTTGTGGTTTTAATTTGCATTTCTGTGGTGATTATTGGCTTTGGGCTTCTTTTTAAATGTCTGTTGGCCATCATCTGTACATCCTGTTTGGACAAGTGTCTATTCAGGTCCCTGCCTATTTTTAAATTGAATTGTTTGTGTTTTTTGGCATTGAGATATCTGAGTTCTTTATAAATTTTTTATATTGACCCCTTATATGTTCATTGCTGAATATATTCTGCTATTCAGTAGGTTGTCTTTTTATTTTGCTGATGGTTTTTCTTGCTGTGCAAAACTTTTTTAGTTTGATGTGGTCCCGTTGTTTACTTTTTCTTTCGTTTTTTTGCCCAAAGAGATATGTTAGAAAAAAAATATTGCTATAAGAAATACCAGAGATATTACGGCCCATGTTTACACTAGGAGTTTTATGGTTTAGGGTTTTTATATTTGTCTTTAATCCATTTAGAATTTATTCTCGCGTATGTTGTAAGAAAGTGGTCTAGTTTCAATTTTTTGCATGTATCTGTGCAATTTTCCCAACATCCTTTATTGAATAGATGTTCTTTATCCCATTGTATTTTTTTCCTTTCTTTGTCAAATATTACTTGACTATATGGACATTGGTTTATTTCTGGGCTCCCTATTCTGTTCCAATGATCTTTATGTCTGTTTTTATGCCAGTACCAGGCTGTCTGGGTTACAATCATCAGGTAGCGTGATATCTCCAATTTTGTTCTTTTTCAAATTGCTGTGCCTATTCAGGGCTATTGTGGTTCCATACAAATTTTTGGATTATTTTTTTTCTAGTTCTATGAAACACACCATTGGTATTGTGGTAGGAATTGCATTGAATCTATAGATTGCTTTGGGTAGTATAGACATTTTAATGATGTTAATTTTTCCTGTCTATGAGCACAGTGTATAATGTTATTTACATTTTTTGTTCAATTTCTTCAGCATCTTATACTTTTTTAAATATAGGTCTTTTACCTCCTTAGTTAAATTTATCTCTAGGCTTTTGTTGTTGTTGTTGAGCAATTGTAAATGGGATAGTTTTCTTAGTTTCCTTCTCTGATAGTTCATTATTGAAATATAAAATTGCCACCATCTTCTGAATATTAACTTTGTAACCTGTTACTTTACCAAATTCATTTACTAAATCTAATAGTTTTCTATGGGTTCTTTAGGGTTCCCTGTTTACAATATCATGCCATCTGCAAATAATGACTATTTGACTTCCTTCTTTTCAGTTTGGATGCCTTTTATTTCTTCTTCTTATCTGATTGCTGTGGCTAGGACTTCCAGTGCTATGTTGAATAAAAGTGGTGAAAGCGGGCATCCTTGTCTTGTTCCTGGTCTTAGGGGAAATGGTTTTAGTTTTTGCCCATTGAATGTGATATTGTCTATAGGTTTGTCATATATAGCCTTATCACTTTGAGGATGATCCCTCTATTCCCACTTTGCTGAGCGTCTTTATCATAACGGATACTGGATTTAGTAGAATGGTTTTTCCTGCATTGATTGATATTATATGATTTTTATTCTTCATTTTGTTTATGTGATGCATCATGTTTATTGACTTGTGAATGTATTTCAAACCTTGTATCCCCGGATAAATCCCACTTGGCCATTGAATATGATCATTTCAATGTACTGCTGGGTCAGTTGCTAATATTTCCTTTGGGTTTTAGCTTCTGTGCCCATCAGGGATTTTGACTATAATTCCCTTTCTCTGCGTGTCTTTGGAATTAGAGTAATGATGGTTTCCCACAGAGAGCTCGGGAGCCATACCTCCTCTTGAACTTTTTGACACAGTGGAGAAAGATGGGTGCTAGTTCTTTTTTGAAAGGTTGGTTAAATTTGCCTGTGAAGCCATCAGGTCCAGGACTTTTGTTTGCTGGAGTTTTTTTGGTTATTGCTTCAGTTTTTATTAGTTGTTATCCATCTATTCAGGTTTCCAGATTTT